CTATCACCTCTCTGGGCAATCTGTGCCAGTGTTTCACCACTCTCGTCATAAAAAATTGCTTCCTACTATCTCTAAATCCCCACCCACTTAGTATATAATCATTGTCCCTTGTTCAGCTGTTACAGGTATTGCATAAAGGTCTGTCCCTGTCTTTCTTACAACCTTTACTTAAGTACTGAAAGGCCACTGTAGGGCCTCCCTAGTGCCTTCTCTTCCTCAGGCTAAGCCATCTCAAATCTTTCAGCCTTCCTTCATAGCAGAGGTGCTTCATCCCTTTGATCATATCTGTATCCCTCCTCTGGACTCAGTCCCACAGGTCTGTGTCCTCCCTGTGCTGGGACCCCAGAGCTGATGCAGGGTTCCAGGTGGGCTCTCACCAGAGCAGAGCAGAGGGGCAGAATCCCCTCCCTCCCCTGCTGCCCACGCTGCTTTGGATGCAGCCCAGGACACGTTTGGCTTTCTGGGCTGGGAGTGCCCATGGCTGGGTCATGTCCAGCCTCTCACCCACCAGCACCCCCAAATCCTTCTGGGTAGGGCTGCTCTTTGTTCATCCCCCAACCTGGATTGATCCTGCTGGTTGCCCTGACCGAGCTGCAGCACCCGGTCTTGTTAAACCTCATGAGATTCACATGAGCCCACTTATTGAGCTTGTCCAGGATGGTTTCTTATCCCTTAGTTGTGTAATACATTACGGAATAATTCATGCTTATGTAAAATATACATGAAATAAATTGTGCTTGTACAAAAAATTCTTTAAGTTTTAAAACCACAAGCCACAGCTGGGGAAAGATTGAGAAACCACAGATGGCAGCAGAGAGAAAGACCTAATTTACAAACGGAAAAACATGGCTCCACGCAGAGATGGGCCCTTTCCCAGGACAATCCAGGAGACACCCAAGCATAGTCAGAGTCAGGGCGTGCATTCCAATACTAGGTTCCCGTAGATCAGCATTCATTGCTTCCCAGAAACAGCTTTGTCCAGCCCAGCACAGAGAAAAGGAGACCACATGAATATGTGAAGCAACAAAAAGAATAGGAACAACTCTGCCCCAGGCAAAAAAAACTGTATAAAACTAACCGGACAGAGACAACATTTGTGAACAGAGGGGATATGAAGCTGTATGAAGCGGTAGAGTTCAGATCAGAGTTCATCCAGTGCCAATCCTAGCTCGATGCTGTCCATTTGATTGTGGCTATTGGGGACCGAATCTCGGTCGCGAAATAAAAACCTATTTTTGATTATTAATTTGGATTTATCATTTATACCTACAACAGGTGTGTCAGTTGCATCACTCAGCTTGATGTTGCCTGCAGATATGCTGAGGGTGCACTTGTTCTCACTGTCTGTGACACTGATGAAGACATTAAACAGTACTTCTCTGCCTACAGATCCTGGAGGGACACCACTTGTCACCAAGCTCCATCTGGATACTGAGCTGCTAAACACTATTCTGTTGATGCAGGCATCCCACCAGTTCCTCATCTGCTGAACAGTCCACCCATCAAATCATGCATGAATACCTAGATCTGAATATATGGTGTGGGACGTACTCCATCACGGAACGATATTTACAGCTAGTTAGTATCCTAGCTAGTTAATAACACAAGGATAGTAACAGATTCAGTAGTGGCTGTGGTGCTATTTTTCTGAAAGGATTTAATGGTACTAGGATGTATTTGTTCTTTTGAGCTGTCATTGATTGTAGCAGGATGCTCTGCCTAAGTGGGGATAAACAGCTCAAACCTTACTCTATTTGCAAAAGTTACCAGTGATAGATAGAGGAAGGGGTTCATGCTGCTTTTGTTTTGAAGAACACTGAAGCCAGCCTGAAGTAAACATTCTGAGAATGTGAAAAACAGTGTTCTGACAGCAACTGGCATTACTGAGAAGGCTGCAGACAAAGATCCTGATAAAGAAACCTGCAAGTGATTATACTTTAATAGATTTAAAGGTGCTGAGCTGACATAGCTGGCCTAGAAACATGTATTTTATGGTCAATGACTTTATACTCTGAAAGCCTAGTCCCACTTCTTCCAGGAGGGACTTGCAACACATTTCTTCTAGGAGTGCATTTGGAGATTCCTCACTTGAGTGCTGATGCCCCTCAGGGTTACTTTGCCCATGGGCATTGGTTTGGATAAGTAGCATCAGTCTCATTTAATAATTATTAAGCTAGCTTCAAAATGATCGATTTAACAAATAGTGCATTCTGCTAGTATTTACAGTTCTGACTGAAGTCTTTAAGTCTAATCACTATCATCAATTAAAATAGCTGATTTACTTTCTTCATATAGATGTATTTGGTTTGCCATCCTCAATCTTGCAAGACAAAGTCATATAAAGGTTCAATCGCACCTATGAAGTCCTTTAGACATAATCATTGATTAAGTCTGTGACTAGGATTGGTTCCAGCCTCACTTAGACTTCTCTCTGAGAAGGAGCTCAGAAAGCAAGGGGGTCTTTTCTGAACCCTCTGTCACAATAGGAAGGTCTCTCTGTTAAACTTGGTCTGAAGCTTCCATTCAGACCACAATGTGTAAGAGCCAGTGTAGGACTTCCTACAGTTCATCAGTTCAGATGTTTCTGTACCCAGGAAGCCAGACCAAAATGTGCATTGCCAATAACTCCAGTTACCATGCCCACCCAGAAGCCTTCACATTGTACCACAGGGCTTGCTCCTCAGTTTATGGGCCACAGAACATAAATGGGATTTAAGCTGCTTTTTGAATGAAGTAGTGTTTGAATCCAGTGGGGTCTTTTTCCTGAAGTAATCAGATCACATGTGAAATCAACAAAGTCCCAGGAGCAAGAACTAAATTCAGTCCTGCACACACTGCTGACATTGTAATTTTGTTATGTTGTTGGAGTGGGGAGGAGCAATTTAAAAGGAAAACTGTAACTGGTGTTAATCCTGTGTCATGGTTGTAGCTGTTTTCTTCTCCTGGGAACAATGGGAGAGCCATTACCTTGGAAAACCCTCACAGAAAAGGATCCTCAGTTCTATCAACCCATTTCTTGCTTCAGGATCTGAGGTGTGATGATCCCTGAGGCATAGGAGATCACTTGATTGAGAAGCTCTTGAAACTGACTGCCCATCAAGGCCATTTGTTCTTCCTTCTGAATTGCTAAGAGCTCCTGCCTGAAGGTAGGCAGGGCAGGGCAAATTGTACTGTGTAACCCTTGCAGCTTTGGATCTGACCTCTGCTTCAGCCAGGCTATGCATCTGTGGTTTCCTTGGCACAAACTTGGACCTGTCGTGTCCATTCAAGTTTTCTGGGAAAATGTTGGAGGTCATGTCTGTACAGAGAAGCCCAAATTTGTGCAGCTACCCGACAACTAATTAGGCCAGGCAAAGTGTGACCAATACAGGGCCTCAGATGGTGACAAAAGCAATCCCAGATACTATATTTTGTACTAAATAGTCTTCCTTATGGAAGACTCTCAGCACTATTTCTTCAACTATAGGAGTAGTTCCTTCAGAAGTATTCCTTTAAAATTGTCTCCTTGTCATCTGTGAACCAGGGAAACAAAAAAGAGGGTGGGGCAACATATCAAAATTCCCTGCTAAAAAAAGCATAGGTTGCAAGTTCTTTACGCAGTCCTGATGGCCTTGGTGAACTGTTTGTGCTCCTAACTTTTTGGTTCCATTGGGCTAGAAAGCCTTCCACCAGAGCATGGCAAGTATAACATGACATAATATGACTTTTTTATTACAATATAAACCAAAGAAACTTTTTAATTCCTGAAGACCCGTAAAACACTCTTTATCTGGCTTCCTTAGGAGTACCTTAAGAGGTACGTGGAGAGTTCAATTTGACACCATCACATTGTGAACTCATAAAGTATCCTGGCTTTTTACAAAGTGTTGTACAGAAACTTCTTAGAATTTTGAATGTTCTAAATGCTGCCTAGTTTCTCTGGGAACAGAATGGCTGAAATGTCTCACAAGATTTGAATGCTGTTGGGATGCTCTGGGTAGGAACCAGGTTTCCTCCAGTTCCAGAAACATTTTCTTTTCCAACATCCTCCTAGCCTAGGAAGAATCAGCCTTAAGTCCTGAAGAAACAAATTGATTATTGACTTGATGGTAGAATCAATAGCTCTTGGAATCCAAGTTGCTTGTTGTGAATTTGAAGGGCAAATGCCATTTTGCCTCTAAGCCTGATTCTCAATCCACATCCTTAAGTACTGGGATCAGTCAGCCCATTGTTTTAATTTTCCTTAAGGGACTAAGGGGACTTAAGTGTGATATTAAAGGGAAGCTTTAATTGAATCTCTGGTAAATTTGTCTGTTCCAAGCTAGTTGTTACAAAGCTGATACAGAAGTTATTTAAAATTAAAGGAAATAGAGGCCTCCTCGTGTGTTTACTGAATGACATAGTTGCAACATTTGTGTATTATCACATCTACAGGAACCAAGTACCTGTCTGTAGGGAGGGCTGTGCTCCAGGACGGCTTTGATGAAAGGAGGCTGCTCTTGGAATGTAAGGTTTATTAGGGATGGTGAAAGGTCTTGCCTGGTGCTGCCAGACGCAGCACTGGCAAGGCCTGAGCGAATGGGGGAGGGGAGAGACAAGGGGTAGAGAGGATGCTCTAGGAGAGGGTGGAAGTTCCAAGAGAGTGGGGATTCCAAGAGAGGGGAGTCCTAAGAGGGGGGAAGATCCAAGAGAGGGGAAGTTCCAAGAGAGGGGAGTTCCAAGACAGGGGAAGATCTAAGAGAGGGGAAGATCCAAGAGGGTGTCTGGCCCCTGGGAGACCCCTTATCAGGGGGCTTCAAGGTGGGCTGGAACAGGACTTGGGCCAATGGGGTCACAGACACTTGATGCTTCAGGGGAGGGTTACAGGTGTGGGATGAACCATACATTCTGGGGGTTGAGATAGAACAGTCCATTAGACTTTTGGACCTATCTGTAGGTAAGGGTATTGTCCAGCCAGTAGGGGGGATTGTTTTCATCCTGGCTGTACTATTGTGAATCTTCTGCCAGGCAATTATATTTATCCATCCTTTCCAACACCTGTCTTCTAACAATTTAAGTAAAACAACAATAAGGTTCAAATATTGGTGATTTATATTAAAACTTGTCTTTTTTTTTAGATTAGTCTATGTGTGCATCAGAACATGGTGAATAAAGGTGAGCCTAAAGAGATTCTCCAACCACAGAACTGAAGTTCAGGATCTATCAGAGATGTCTATCATGTGCTAACAGAGAGAGTGACTTCTGAGCAATGTGTTTAATTTCTAGGATTGGCTTACAATGAATCTGCTTAGAATTGAAATATATAAAAAGTAAAGAAATATAAATGTTCAAAATAAACTAAATTAGAACTTCAGTTTGAAGCAAAATCCAAAAACTTAACTGAAATTTTAGAGGTTTGGTAGGGAAGCTTTTGTAGCTAAATTAATTATTTTTCTTATAGCTTAGTCTCAATTAATGATTGCATTTTTCTTAGTATTAATAATCGCCTTCATTTTTAGTGGTGTAGTTACATCCCTGTTATAAGTGAATGATCTATTACTAAGTGTCAGGGAATGATAAACTGTTGAAGGGGAAAGAGTCTCATAAATGTGCTTGGAGAAAAGAATCACAGATATTAACCTGACATTCTTTTAAAACAGATAAATATTTCTGTCACATAAGATGAGACTCTGCTTCACAGACTTACTTTGGTCACAGCAAGAGAGAATGACAAATGGATTAAACTTCTATTGTAGAAATTTAAACCCTTCTCCTCCCACTCTTGTATCTTCCCTCCTCACTTTCACACACATGTATCCAAAATAAGTAGTTGTCAGCTTTTTGCAGGATAAAGTATAACATTTTTTCCTCTAATTTTCATATAGGTAGGAGAAATGAATCTCTATGATAGAAAAGGAAGATACTTAATCCAAAATACACTTTTTCTTAATGATTTCCATTATATGGGCTTTGAAACATGAAAAGCTTGATGAACAACGTATTTTGCAAATATATGACAATCATTTCCATTCTGATATTTTTTATTTTAAAGGAGGTACACAACCACCTGAGATACATGTGGTCTTTGTAATGTTCTTTAAAGCTTTCCAGGAGAACCAAACAATAATATTAAAAAAGTACACAGCAGGAAGAAAAAGAAAGAAAACTACTGTGACAAATATTGGGGAAAAAGGCATATTACCTCAAAGTATTAATAGCTTTCAAGGAAGATAGGAAGTCTGGTCTTTCAAAGATTTAGTACTGAAAGAAGATGAAAAATTACAAAATACTAATATATTTTTTTAAATGGCAAATATATTTCTATGTAATAGAAAATCTGATCTAGATAATCGTGTGTCATTCAAATATTTCATTGTATAAAACATATTCCTGTCTAACCAGAGTTAGATTTTCACTACGTTTTTTTTTATTAAGTTCTGCTTTAGCTTTCAATCACAGTGATAAAAAAATATACAATACAAAATCATGCAATCAAATGCCATGGAAATTAAATCAATATTGAAAAATACAAGAAAGTTGGTTCAAACTGTTCTGGCTTGGGGTGTTAATGAATCAAATGGATCTGAAATAAGCTAGCCAGCTTAGCAGCAAAGATACTACAGAAAGAAAATTGTTAAAAAAATACTAAGGTAAAATTTTCCTGGTTTTGATCTGGAGTGGATTTGCTTTCATCAAGAAAGAAAAGTAATTTATAAACTCCTGCTGTTAGGAGATGTTCAGAGTTAACTCCCAAAAAAACCATATAATTCAAGGAAGTCTTAACTGCTTGCAGAAATCATCAATCTTTGCAACAGAATAATATTAGAATATCTTAGGGTTTAAGACATGATTTTTATGTACTGTAGCAGGATTGAGGAAGGTGATCCTTGAAGTTTGTTTATCTGTGGTTCCAGAGAATCCAAAGACACCATTTTTGTTCACTTAGGGAGGAAATAAATTCTTGTTACTTGTGCAGACAACTTATGAATCAGAGAAAACAAGTAACATGGGCTGTCCAATAGCAGCATCAACATGCATCCTGTTTGGGAGGTGGGGATGCCAGCTGGGGATTTAGATTGCAGCTACATGTGTCAGTAGTGGGGCTGAAGCGATTGCCAGCTCTGTCTCCTCTGTCTTCACTGACACACAACACAGACAATACAAAGAATATAAATTTTCTGTTCCCCTTGCAGTTACTAAAAAGAGCTTAAGGAGTAACTGGCAAAATTAAATAACTGGCAAGAAACTGGAACAATTAAATACTGAAGAGTCACTTTTGGCAGGTGAGGCAAATTCAACATAATTTACTGGGAACCTCTTGTTTTCTTTCACAAGTGGAGTCTTTTTTTTTGCCATATGTACGTGCTTTGTTTTAATTAGGTGATATCTAAACTTGTGCTTCTAAGCATTTTCTTCAAGGTGATTTGATATGTTGTAGTTTTAATCACCCAAATGCTTCTCAGTGTTCTCAGAAGTGTTCTGAGCACCACTTCTCAGAGGTACACATTGAAAGGACAAGAGACAGCAGTCATAAATTACAGCAGTGAAAATTCTAACTCATTATAGACAACAGCTTGTTTCTGGTAAAGGGATCAGACCCTGGAATGAGCTGCCCAGAAACTGGAATTTCCATCTTCAGAGATTTTCAAAACTTGATGAGTCCCTGAGCAGCTCTGTCTAAGTCTGAAGTTAACTCTGCTTTGAGTACTTCAGAGGTCCCCTCCCATGTAATTTTCTTTATGAACATGTTAATAATTTCTCCATGATCATGTTAAGAAAATTCTAGTTATTTAATCTCTCCATTCTGCTCCAGGGCTGAGCATCCTTCTCTGTGGAGGCAATTCTGAGCTTTCTTAAACAGCTTCTGAAAACTGCTCATATAAATGCTCAACACAGAAACATTATTTTTCTATGAATAAGAAATATCAGGAAAGTGTCACCCTACAATTTTCTAATAAAGTCAAAACAGTACTAATATTTTTAAAAATGTGTAAAAAGATAGGAAAACTAATATTGTTCAGAAATATTTCAGATCATTAAGCTGGAGTCTCCCATAAATTCAAATAAGATATAACTTTTGCTCTGTAGACAGCTGTTCCTTTCTTCTGCATCTTTCTAGGAAAGTGTTCAGAACAGCAGACTCTCAGAGCAAGCAGGAGGAGGCATTAAGCTATAGGCAATCACATTACTTGAAGAGAAAAGATGTCTTCCCTTCTGTACCAACTCTTTAATTATACATGTGGGAACCAGTTTCATCCTTCTACTCTGAGCTGCATGAAATCCAGGGCTTGGGTTCACCTCATCTGATCAAGGAGCATGAGATGCAGAGGAAAAGAAGAAGTAATGCAGTTAATTATATAGACATTTTTAAAGGTACAGTGCTAATGCAGTAAATTTGCATATGTTAAGTAATTATTTTGTTACTGTTAGCATATAATTTGAAGTTCCTGCACAAGCTTATTGAAGACACAATATCTAAATTAGAGTTGGTAATTATTTGTGAATTTCATCCAGAACCTGTTATTAACACTTACAGAATATAAGGAATTATATTTTCCTCAAATCCTTGACTTCAAAAGAATCATAATCCTGTGATAAACAGGTTTTAGTAAATGCTCAAAGTCAATTCTCATGCAATCCTGAATAATTTCAGACTTCCATTATGTACCTGTTGCCATCAATGCAGAAAGGTTTACATTTTTTTTAAGGTTTAATTTTTTTTTTCAGCACTTCTGTAGTGCTGAAGCAGCCCATTTTGAAAATCTGAGGCAAAAATAATTTTCCTTTGACTCTTCTTTTACCAAGCAGGTCAGATGATTTGTGAATGGATGCACTCTCTAGAGAGCAGAAGTTTTGATTAAACTTACAGGTTGGTGGTGGGGGGGTGGTGGTGTAGTTTTGTTTATTTGTGCATTGTTTTCTTTTCCTGCTTTCACCAGATTCTCTTAGGAAAATAAAAAGTAAATACATTGTGACTTGCAATAAGTGGATTTTTCCATAGTGTGAGAAGCTGAAGTTATTTGGCAAATATTAATTTAAGGTTTGTTTTAAGAAAGCGTGTATAATTGTGGTTTAAATAATTCTTAAAGTATTTCAGGTAAAAAAAATCAAAAATCTTGTCTCTATCCAATTCAAATTCATATTATCTGATGATCAAAGATTGGTTCACTGCCATTAATCTAATTGTGAGAGTCTATGAAATATGTTGAATGTTCATTTCCCAGTTAGAGTCACATTATGAGTATCATGTTTGTGCATCAGAAATAAAATTTAAAATTCATGTTTCTTTCTTTATAATATCTTAAACTAACTTAAAATAAATTTTAGCAACTTCTTACTGATTCTTGGACATATGGTGAGACTTAGAGCAGTTTAAGAAAGCTACTCTACATAAACAAGATTTTACCAGAAATATTTTTTTCTGGGACTTTTGAGGAACTGTAGGTAAATAAAGATTCATTAACAGCCAAGAAAACATATGAAAGTCACATATAACAGCAATAGAAAGTCCCTTACTGCATACAGTTTGAAATAAATATGTAAATTCAATACTGAAAATGGTACTGTTAAGGTTGAGAATTTACCTTGGACTCTTTTCCAGTCTGAATTATTCTTTGATTCTGTGACAGTGAGTCAGCCAATTGGGGAGGTAATTTCACTGGGTATACTTAAATTACAATAATAAATTCTAGAGAAAACTTGGGCCACTTGCAGATAAATACCTCTGAAGAATAGAGTTTAGTGACAGAGAAACATCATCCCAATACCTTTTATCTGTGTGTTATTTACGTACAAGTACCTAAATTTTAATATGTATGTGGACATTATTAATAGTGAATTAATAATCTGTGTGAGGAAAGCTTTTTTTTGTTTTCTTTTTTGCTTTCAAGCTATCTTCTGACTCCTTCCTTCAGAAAACCTTAGCTTATTTCTCAGATGCTCTCCTAATGTCTTCTGGTCCTCTTACTTCCAGTTAGCCTATAAAAGACAAACTCTGCCTGTACAATATAAAGCTTTGCTGAACTTCTTGGCGTATTGGAAATAGATATATTATCTAGCATGAACTGATACATTTATTAGTATATAATATGTGTATCATAGCTATGTAATTTACGTGTACATAACTAATATACTAATACCTGTGTAATATGCTCAGGTGACTTAGTAGGTAGTTTATGCATTCTAGAAATTACAGTTGTAGCAGGAGAGGTTCAGTGAGGTGGAGTGATGGGTGCTGCCTTGGTTCACAGCAGCCCCAGGCAGTGCTGCTGGCTGGGGTCAGAGTGGCTGGAAACAGCTCAGTGGAAAAAGACCTGCGGCTGCTGGTCCACAGTGGCTGAACATGAGCCAGTTGTGCCCAGGTGGCCAAGAAGGCCAATGTCATCCTGGCCTGTGGCCAGCAGGACCAGGGCAGTGATTGTCCCCCTGATCTTGGCACTGGTGAGGCCACACCTTAAATCTTGTGTTCAGTTCTGGGTCCCTCAATCCAGGAAAAAACACTGAGGTGCTGAAGCGTGTCCAAAGAAGGGCAATGGACCTGGTGAAAGGTCTTGAGCACAAGTCCTCGGAGGGCAGCTGAGGCAGCTGGGGGTGTTTACGCTGCAGGAAAGGAGACTCAAGGGTGATCTTTCTGCCCTCTGAAAGGAGGTAGTAATTTAATGGGCATTGGTCTCTTTTGCCACATAAGAACTAACAAAACAGGAGGAAATTACCTCAAGTTGTGCCAGGGGATATTCAGATTGGATATTAGAAAAAATTTCTTCACTGAAAGATCTATCAAGCACTGTTACAGGCTGAGCAGGAGAATGGTTGAGTCACCATCTCTGGAGGTATTTAAAAGATGTAGATGTGGCGGTTAAGGACGTGCTTTTGTAGTGGACTTGTTTGTGTCACATTGATGGTTGAACTCAATGGTCTTAAAGATGTTTTCTGACCTAAATGATTCTATGATTCTAAATTACAGATGAGAGATCATATCTTTTGTAACAAGTTTAAAACCAAAATCTTTAAATACACGTCTGTCTCCTAAACCTACCTTCATTTATATATTGTTTGTAATCTATACTATGTAGTAGATAGGATATTTGATGAGTTAGCAATAGTATCCAATCCCTTCCATTAGCAGCAGATCAAAGCTTCATCTTGCAAAATTTTTTTTAAAAGTAGGTGTTGGCATGAGACAGCATCATTATTTGTCTTGTGTAAGAGTACGCACTGCAAACACATCCTTATCATCTCATTGTTTCCCAGATCAAATTGATGCAGGTGTCTGGCCAGGTGTATTGGATTTTCACCCCAGTAGTAAGAAGATGTGCTATTTCTGTGGCTGACATACTAAACCTCTACGCCCTTTTGAAATGAATGTAAGTTTTATATCAATGCGTCTTTTAATAATTTATAATTTTCCATCTACAAGTTGAGTAACATGGCCAACAAATTCATATGTTGCAGGAAAGTAATCTTCTTACCCCTAGAATAGAGAACTACTCTTATAAATGAGTTAATGAGAAACAATTGTGTCAGTTCACAGTTAATTTTTGTGCCTTTTTTAAAAAAGTAAAATAACTGTAGAGATAATTGTAGAGTCTTGCACTGTTACAGAATTATAGAGAGATAATTGCTTGAATCAATCATCAAGACTCAAGTAAGGAACAGCCTATCGATAATATGGAGAGATCTGAGAAGTTTCATTTATTTGAAAAACAAGGTCTCAATACTACTACTTGATTCCATTTTTGTATTCAGTAGTTGCTTGATGATAACATGATAAAGGACAGTTACAGTTTCAGTAAATTATTCAGTCAATATGCGTTGAGAAGGGCTGGAGAGGTGCTTTGATTCAGCTCATACTCCATTTTCTCAGGAAGGGCCTAAAGGCCTGAAAAGTGCTTGCACAACAACAGAAGTTTATGACCAGTGAAATTGCACAACTTCTACACTCAGAATGTCCACAGACTATTGGTAAACTCAATAAATCTGACAAGTCTACAGGCTGTCACTTGCTAGGTAGTCAAAAATTAATGTGAAATTGAAAGAAAATAAAAAAAATGAGAGGGAAATATCCTATTCACATCTTTCATTCTCAGGAGATGCTTTAGGACTGGTTCAAATTAAGCGGAAGCAGTGCTGTTGCCAACTGGTCCTGCTTTTTTTCACCCTTTTGATGTGCACACCTCCTTATTAGCCTGTGTTGGATCCGGTGACAGTGGAGTTGTATGCTGAGTGGGAGCCGCATTTTCACTGAAAACATATCTGTACAAAATATAAATTTTTTTATTTGGATCATCCTACTGGGAAGGGTGGGGAGGAGATAAGAAGAAAAATAAATGGTTGGACTGCTCCTTCTGACAGCAGCTGTGTATCTGGTTCATTTAACTCCAAAATTGTGTGAAGAGAAGAAGGAAAAAAATATATTTTTGGTCAATATTTTGAATAAGTATGCAGTTACCAATGTGTCTTTTATTACAGTATGCGGAACTTAAAGGAAAGAAAAAATACTTTTATCCCAGAGCAAATATTTGTAACAGCATATAGTGCTGCAAAAAACCATGTAAATAACTTGATCTAATTATGATCACACTCAGGGTAAGAAGCCTAAGAGATGAACCAAGATGGTGAAAAATGAGACATGTTTTTCTTGGATTGGATTAGCCTTGTTTATCTGTAAAGAATTTTTAATTGGCTCTTAAACATTTAACCTAATTGTGAAGACTGATTTGCACAATTTGCAAATATTTGCTCCAAGACATAGTCATCTCCACTTAGGTGCAATTACATCTATTTTGGAAATAATGGACAGTCATACTGTGAGCACTAGTGGTTTTCAATGTCATACATAATAAGATCAAAAAGTATATCTAAAATATAGTTGCTTCAGACACGATCCTAAGGAATTACATATTTCTTAATACAAAAATACCTGATTTTGATATTTTCAACTGTTGCACTTGGAAAAACATAACATAGAGGAAAAGTACACAATTTTAAAATATTTATTTACTTCAGTATTTAACTTACCTAGCACATCAATCCAGCATGGTCTAATCTAATCTAGATACTATTATAATTTTGTAATTATAATAATATATATAATATAAAACATATAGATATTTCAAAAACAGTAAATTAAGACCCTACATGCCAAATTAACTGGTCTCATAAAAAGAGGATGGGAATTCAGCAGAAAATGAGACTCCTCGAGTTCCAGCTGGCCTTCAGAGATCAGAGGGCCTGGGTGTGGCATGATTATAACCAATTTAGCACTGTAAATCTGGTCGATTTCAAATGAAGAATTGAAGCATAGGTGCAGTTCACTGGTCCAGCATTATAGGTCTTGTTGCACTCAAAAAGCAATGTTCACAATCCAGATTCACAATAATGAGTTTTTTTTAAGCAACAGAAGAGCACATTCAGGATTGCCAGTAATAAATCCACTAAAAACACAGAGTGGTAATATGTGTCACATCAGAAAGTTTTGTAAGAGATATTCTAATAGTGGTGTATATATATATATACATATATATGTTATAGATGCATATTATATGTTTGGCTTTTTGTAAATATTAAAATGAATACTATATGTGTTATGTTGGAAAGTTATGCTGTATCTCTTTTAAGTTTTGTGGTAAATACAGTTTTTGGGCTATAGCATAATATTAAAATAGAAACTATGTGATGTAAGATACCTTTTGTAACTAGCTCCAAGGAATGGCTAGGCTAGCCAAGAGATTCTTCGCATAGAGATAACAGCAACAAGACACTAAGATCCCAAGAGAATTATTGCCTCCTTATCGGGAAGACCCAGACTTTGAGGTACCAACATGATTGATTTACAAGATGAGGGGGGAGTTGAAACTAAGCAGAAGAAATCCTTTGTTTGAAAGGAATTTTTGAATCGTGTGTGAGATTTTTGACTATTGCTTTTAAGGGTTAATCCTTTGTTTGCAAGGTGTGCTTTTGTGGCTTAGTGCCCAATAAAGGCCTTTATTGTCCTTTATTGTCCTAACTCTGATTGTCCAAATTCTTATTGCTCTAATTTTATTACTTTTTTTATAACTATTTTATTACTGTTAAACTTTAAAAATTTTAAAACAAGTGGTTGTCTAGGGGTTGTTCCATCCCCTAGACAGGGGATAAAATTTATAATATAATTTATATTTATAAAGTTTATAAAAATATAATTTATAATAAATAATAAATAACTGGCAATCCTGAAAATGCTTTTCTGTTGCTTAAAAAAACCTAATTATTGTGAAAATTAATATGAAAATTAATATTCTCGGTGTGCTACAATGCAGTTGGAGGTATAAACCACACCTAAAGCCATCCCTTCAGGAGATGAGAAATAGGACAGACCCTGTCTATCAGTCAGCTGAGCAGATAGCAGATAGAGATATTTTTCCCCTCCAGCGATATTTTCGATGTTTTCGTTCTCCAGAGGTTTTTCCCCCTCCACTTGTGTTTTTGCCAGTCCACCCTTTTCTGCCCTG